AAAAGACAAGTGTATCAAGTGTTGGCCAGGATGTAGAGTAAAGGGAACCCTGTACACTGTTGGTGGGAATGTAAATCAGTACCACCATTTTGGAAGACAGTATGAAGGTTCCTCAAGAAATTAAAAATAAAACTATCATAAAAAATAGGGGTCCCTGGGTGGCTCAGTGGGTGAAGCGTCCGACTTTTGATTTCAGCTCAGGTCATGATCTCAGGGTTGTAAGATTGAGCCCCACCTCAGACTAGCTGGGTGTGAAGCCTGCTTAAGATTCTCTCTCTCTTCCTCTCCCTCTGCCCCTCCCCACCCACTTGCACTATCTCTCTCTTTCAAAAAAAATAAATAAATAAATAAAATTGAATTAATTAAATTAATAAAAAATAGAACTATCATATGATCCATTCATCCAGTTTTGAGGTATATATCCAAAAGAAGTAAAATCAGTATCTCAAAGAAATATCTGTATCCCCATGTTTATTGCAGCAATGTTTACAGAAGCGAAAGTATGGAAACCACCTAAGTGGTTAAATAAAGAAAATTTGGTGTGTACAGACACCGTGTGTATAAGATGGAATATTATTCAGCAACCAGGAAAAGGAAATTTTGTCATTTACAATAACATGGATAAAACTGGAGGGCATTATGCTAAGTTAAATAAGTCACAGTGAGAAAGACAAATACAAAGACAAAGACAAAGCATGATATCACTTATATATGGAATTTTAAAAAAAATGAAGTCCTAGAAACAGAGAATAGAAAAGTGGTTTCCAGGGGCTGGGGGTGGGGGTAAAATAGTACAAAATTTCAGTTATAAGATGAATAAAGTCAGTGATTCTATTGTATAACCTGATGACTATAGCTTATAACACTGTGTTGTATGATTGAAATTTGCTAAGAGAGTAGAACTTAAATGTCCTCACCAAAGACAAAAAATGTGAGGTGTTAGATGCGTTAATTAACTCAATGGGGGAAATTCTTTAACAAACAATGCATATGTATATCAAATCCTCACATGGCACAGTTTTAGTATCTTACCATTTAATTTGTCAATTATACCTCAATAAAGCTGAACAAATAAATCATAAAAATATTTTTAGTTACGATCTGAAGATTACTTATTGTAAAATATCTGTTTACTCAGAATACTTCCTATCCATTCTGAGTAAAATATATGCAGTATATGCAAGTATGTATCCCATTTGCTAATGTAAAACCTTCCAATGGAAATTCTTAGAGAAATATTTTTCACTTTCCTGAACTTATCAATCCTAAAATATGATTCTCCAGGCTAGTACCCTTCCTTGTGTCCTGAAAACCAGGAACAAAAAGCTCATGCCAGTTAGCAAAACTGCACCAGATATTTTGCCTGTATGTGCGTGTGTGTATTTTCATGCCTCTGCATTTATTCATTTCTATTCAATTCATCTTTTATTCTGTTTTTCTATGTCTTTACTGCTGGACACATTTCTAAACAAAGTTTACTGACAATTTTTGGTGTGGTCATGGCAATTACTGTCAAATGAATTTCAAAGAGGTTGTTGTTTTTCCTTATCCCTTGATTTTCATTTCTTTAAACAGGATAAGCAGTATTCTGAAGACATCTGTTCATTTCAAGGAGTTCCTGAGAAAGTAGCTGAAATTTAATTCTAAAAAGTAGCAATAGTACAAAAAGAGTTTTACTGTGTAATACGCAGTATCTGCATAGGAAGCAAATTCAAGCAAATCCTAGATTTCAATTGAATGTGAAAAGTTTTTTCAGTCTATCAATTTAAATTGTTGGATAAAGTAATAGTGACCCAAAACTCAATCACGATCAGTTGGAATTAGAAGTAAATTTTTGATTCAACTAACAAACACCATTTACCTTGTCTATTTAACATTTTAAGATCAATTTCCTAATTGATCTAATGAGAAAGAAACATTAATGAAGAGAATTTCAGGATTTCAGATGTCAGAATACTTATGTCTCCCATTTGCACAATTAATTGTGATTTATAAAAGTGAACAAATTATTGTGATGATAGTTTGTCTTTTTTAAGAGGTATTAAAACTGGCTAAAAAGTAAAAGTTATTATGAATAAACTTTCTGATGAAGCTACAGAGACATCGATTTTAGTAATTGGAAAGTCTTACATACTCTGGTAATTATCATATTTTCCTCTCTTTGTGTTCTGAGTACAACAGAAGGGCTGGAGGAGTTGATCAAGCACAGTCTTGTGGCTAATTGAGCAATACTGTCTGAATCATTTAATAGTTAATTATTTTTTTCTTCTGTATTTGACTAAAATTGCTCCAGCTAAGGCAGTTCTCAAAGATTTATTCAAAATCAGCACTTTTCTAACATGTGAAAGTCAAATGTAATTTTTAAAAAGTAAATTAAAAACTTTGTTAAAAGCTTGCAATAACAACCCATTTCCACACGTAGGTTTCTTTCAGGAGAATATAACCTTAGTTTTGAAAATTTGTAAATTCAGAGCAAAAATGCATATATCAAATTAGAAGACTTTCTTTTATTTTTTATTTACTTTTTTTAGTTTTATTTTTTTATTATTATGTTATGTTAGTCACCATACATTACATCATTAGTTTTTAATGTAGTGCTCCATGATTCATTGTTTGCATATAACACCCAGTGCTCCATGCAGTACCTGCTCTCTCCTTAATACCCGTCACCAGGCTAACCCATCCTCCTACCCCCCTCCCCTCTAGAACCCTCAGTTTGTTTCTCAGAGTTCATAGTCTCTCATGGTTCATCTCCTCTTCCGATTTCCCCCCCTTCATTCTTCCCTTCCTGCTATTGTCTTTTTTCTTTCTTTCTTTTTTTTTTTTAACATATAATGTATTATTTGTTTCAGAGGTACAGGTCTGTGATTCAACAGTCTTAAACAATTCACAGCGCTTTCTTTTAAATTATTCTAGGAAAACATAGCTTTTCCACAGAAATCTACTTGAGAAAGATTTTTCATTCCAGATTTAAAAACTTCTGTTTTCATATGAATTTGCACTCACAGCTTTATTTTTTTGTTTCAACAGAAGTGACGTTAAACATTATTACATTTTATATGGTGCACTAGATATTGAAATGCAGACTGCAATAACACCAGGTCTTTGTCCTCAAGGACTTCAGAGATGGTTGGAACAACTAGCATGTAAACACAAGATAATATGCCTTCATCAAGTGAGAGCTGAGCAACAGTGAACTCTAAGGAGCTATTGATCATGAAAATTACTTGTTTTTCTAAATTAGATGGCCCTTGAAATGAGGGGTGGACAAATAATTGATACTCTAGAAAACAGTATATGGATTTTAGGCATCCTTATCAGAGAAAGCAACATATAAAATTTCTTTGTGTTTAAGTAGTGGTAAGATAAAACCAGAACAATGTTAAAGTACCATGTTTTAAAAAATATAATTCAAATATAAGAGTTAAATTATCAATATTAAAATGAAGTATAGGGCACTTGGGTGGCTCAGTTGGTTAAGCGACTGCCTTCGGCTCAGGTCATGATCCTGGAGTCCCGGGATCGAGTCCCGCATCGGGCTCTCTGCTCAGCAGAGAGTCTGCTTCTCCCTCTGACCCTCCCCCCTCTCATGTGCTCTCTCTCATTCTTTCTCTCTCAAATAAATAAATAAAATCTTTAAAAAAATAAAAATAAATAAATTAAATAAAGTATAATATATTCAAGTATATAAATATATATTACCCTATCTAAAAACTGTTTTATAAATATTTATAACCTCTTCCAAATAAGAGCAATGTTATGAAATTTTTGAAATTTTCATACAGATTCTTTAAGGTTCTTTTGTTCTTTACAACACTACCCAAATGGGAATTAATATCATCATTCTGTGCTTCAATCTTAGAACATTTTATTTAGTAAACCATATTCATAGAAGAAATTAGAAAAAAAAAAACATTCTATGAATTAATGTAGCCCACCCTTGGTTATAGGTCTATTAATCAGAGAGTGGAATATGGTAAAATCAATGCATTCATTGTTATACTTTTAATATTTAGTTAAATATTAAATATAATATTATAATGTTAATTAGAACTGCCTGGGGTGTTTTTATATGCCATCCTTTATGCACTTTTATTATTCACTTCACTCTTTCAAAATAGCTGTAAGACTTTAGTGTAGCAATAAAATACATCATGAACACAATATTCTATATGTGTTTAGAGAAAGGAAATATATTTTCTTACATGGCCATGGATTTGTCCTTTGTTAAAGATCTTGAAGTATTGTTGAGTTTTTTCATAAGCCAGTGAAAGGGACCAGAGGTAGAGAAAAATTTCAGTTAGCAAGTTTGATATGAACAAATTCAGAGAGTCAAAAAAATGTTGTATTGGCTTGAGGTGTTTAAATAGAATTCTCATCCTCATACATTTTGCAATCCCGATGAATCCATATATCTAACATGAATAAATACTAATAATATATCTAATTATATATCTAATATATCTAACATGAATTTTGATAGACTTACCATTTTGAAATGGGAGTTTTAATAACATAACTAATGAGGGGGCTTGGATAGGATATTTTTTCGGATGATACTCTGTAGTAAACATTTTCCTCTTTTGCCCATATAAATCAACCTCATATACTGAAGCTTCTCTGTTACAAACTCTTTTACCTTCTGTCTATCTTGTATATTTATTCATATTTTAATTGGTAGTCTCACCAGTTTGGAAGCCAGAAGTTGAGTATTATGGACAAAGAAGATTCAAAAATATATTTTTGAGGTGACCATTTAATAATCTCATATAATGACATCATTATTGCTACATACAAAAATAAAATTTTAGAAAAAGGCATACAGATGCAATATTTCAAGGTTGTCAAAGCAGTAATGAATAAAAAGTCACACAAAACACACTGGTTATTTCATACTAATTTTATACTTTACTAAATTATGTTTTCTTCTTAAAAATATAGCAAACAAATAAATACTTTATTAAAATAATTCTCTCTATATATTTTATTTTCCTTTTCAGGTGGTGCAAACATCTACTATTCATGATGTTAAACAAAAACTCCACAAAGCATGTAAGTTTTATACATAATTTAGAATTTATGTTACAGTTTTCTCAAATTGGTTCAAATGTATCTGTAAGAATAAGTTCAACATTATGATGGAAAGAGTGTATGGAAATCATATTTTTACAGGAAACTCAGAAATAATGTGTTATATATTTCCTGACTATATTTTCGTATCTAACTCTAATCCACAATTCTCTTAGTTTTTCACAAAATTATTTTGTCCTTCATATTTGAACAAGTATTTACTTATATGTAAGCAGAATATTAAGCAAAAACTTTACTCCATGCATTTATACTGGTCAAATCTCTTTCACATAGAGATTTTTTAACAGCAAATTAAAACTATACTATTTAATTTTATTAATAGCCAAATTTACCTCATTAAGAGGTGTCTTTGTTATTTACTTAGAAATATTTATATGAGGTTTATTTAAATTGGATTTTTATTTTACAATTTTACAATAACGTTTACTCATAACTTAAACATCATGAAAATGTCTATAATTACTAGGAAGCATTTTTTATAGACTTTAATTTTAAAGCAGTTTTAGATTCATAGCAAAACTAAGCAGAAAATACACAGAGTTCTTATATACCCTCTGCTTTCACACATGCACAGACTCTCCCACCAACATTTCACATCAGAGTAGTACAGTTGTTACAATTCATGAACCTACATTGACAAATCATTATTTCCCAAGGTCCATAGTTTACATCAGAGTTCATTCTTTGTGTTGTACATTGTATGGTTTTTGCTAGTGAGCATTTTCAATCTCTTGTATTTATTTGAACAATATTTCTTTTCTGAAAGTCTTAAAGCTCGCAATGTAATGCATCAAACAGTTTATAAATAAAGTAGGTAGAATTTTTAATAGGAACAGATAGCATATATAGTATGGAATATAATTATTTAAAATATGCTTAACCTGTTTAAAATTCTTTGGGAAGGTAGGTTCTAATATTTACCTCAAAGACATGTAGAATTTAAATATGCAGAAATGAACCAGAAAGGGATTATGGTAAGGAAAAGAGAAAAAAACAAGTGCAGAGATCTGTCATGGAATTGATTCTCTAACTTTTAGAATGAAAATAAATTATATTTTTGCCAGTACTTTCTAAATTAGGGAGAACTTTTCCAAACCCCAAATTTGTGCCTCATCACATTACCTATGTTAACCATATTAACCTGATTATTTACACAAATATTTCCTGTTTATTTGCATACTAATGCAGTTGTTTGTGTTATTCCTATCTTTGCATAAAATATGGTTCTCAAACTAATAATTATTGTCATCTTTGGAAAGACTTGGACTAAACTTATTTAATGAGGTCGTTTCAGAAAGTTTAGATTGTAGTAATAAGTGAGAAGACATTTGAAAATAATGCTTTTACTATAAAGTACAAAGTTGCAAGAAAATGGTTGTATTTAAATTAATAATGACAACGTAATAAAAATATGATTTCTACTATTGTCTGAAAAAGAGGAAATGAATTAAGGGCTAATGCATGTGTAGAAGGAATGTGCAATTACCTTGATGTGTAAGTCTATGACTGCTTGTATGACAGTTTGCAATATATATATAGATATACATAACAATTACAAGAAATCTTAAAAATTTTTGAGCCAGAAGTCCTGTATGTGGTTTAGAGCCTATTTCTAATAATAAGTAGTTTGCAGAAAATCTTAGAAATATGCAGTTTCTGAACTGGATAATTAAAAATAAGACAGGCATCTGGGTGGCTCAGTCGGTTGAGCATTGGACTATTGGTTTCTGCTCAGGTTATGATCTCAGGGTTGTGGGATTGACCCCAGGGTTGGACTCCATGCTTAGCGTGGAGCTTACTTGGGAGTCTCTCCCTCTTTCTCTGCCCCTCAGGCTCTCTAAATAAATAAATAAATAAATAAATAAATAAATAAATAAATAGACAAATGTAAAAAAATGTGACAATAATGTGATTAGTTTTAAAAGCTATATCAAGACAATGATTTCTTTTTTTTAGACTTAGTGATTTCTTTTTTTTTTTTTAGACTTAATGCTTTCTTTAGAGGATTTTTTTTTAAGATTTTATTTATTTATTTGAGAGAGAAGGAAAGAACACAAGAGGGGGAGGATAAGAGGGAGAAGCAGACTCCCCACTGATCAGGGAGCCCAATGAGGACCTCGATCCCGGGACTCCCGGATCATGACCCAAGTAAAAGGCAGTGGCTTAACCAAATGAACCACCCACGTGCCCTAAACCTAATGATTTCTTGATGACTATTATTTTATTTATTTTCCTAGCCATATATCTAATCTTTAACAACTATATGTAAATTGTGATCTTTTCATTATTATAAAATGAGTGTTATTTTATAAAGTATACCCATCACTTAAAGAAAAATAATATTCAAATGATTGTATTTATTATACCATACTTTATGTGGCCAACATGAAAAAATGCTCAATATCACTAATCATGAAGGAAATGCAAATTAATACCACAATGATGTATCGTTTCACATCTCTCAGAATGGTTATTTTCAAAAAGACAAGAAAGAAAATGTGTTGGTGAGGATGTGGGAAAAGGGAATCCTTGTGCACTGTTGGTGGAAATGTAAATTGGTGCAGCCACTGTGGAAAATAGCATGGAGATTCTGTAAAATATTAAAAATAGAACCACCATATGATCCAACAATTCCACTTGTGGGTATTTAACCAAATAAAATCAAAACACTAATTCAAAAAATGAATGCACCCCTTACGTTTATGAGAGCGTTATTTACAATAACCAAGATACGAAAGCATAAGTGTCCACCTAAGTGTCCATCAATAGATGATGGATAAAAAGATATGGTACGCACACAGACACACACACACACACATGCTGGAATATTACTCAGCCGTAAAAAGCAATATCTGTTTGTAACAAAATAGATAGAACTAGAGAGTATTATGTTCAGCAAAATGAGGCAGAGGAAGACAAATATCATATGACTTTACTTACATATGGACTCTTAAAACCAAAACAAATGAATCAACAAACAAAAACAGAAAGAGACTCATAAATACAGAAAACAAACTAATGATTGCCTGAGCGTAGGGGAATAGGGAGGTGGATAAAATAGGTGAAAGATATTAAGAAGTACAATCATCCATTTATGAAATAAATAACACATGGGAATGTGGTATACAACATAGGAAATATAGTCAATATAAAAACGTTGTATGGTGACAGATAGTAACTTATTGAGGTGATCATTTCATAATATATGTAGGTGTTGAGTCAGTATATTGTACACCTGAAAATCGTGTATTATGTGTAAATTACACTTTAATAAAAAATATAATATTCAGGCAATTTTTGTCCATTATACTTTATTTCAAAAACTTACTGGTATTTCAGTTTTACAAAGCACAAAAACATTTTTTTGTTATATTACATTACAGAGAATTTTCTGTAAGTCAGTTAAATTGGACATTATGTTTAATGTATCTACCAAATAATAAAAGGCAAGGAAAAAGTGCTAACACTAAAAATTTTACAATGGTAAAACTGAAACAGAACAAAATAATGTGTTGATTGCTTTAATATTTTATGTTGATGTTTAGCATATTTAATAGCATTGAATATCTTGTTGAATTTCATAAATATATTCAAATAATATTAATCTTATATATGTAACTACAATGGTTAGATTTTTTACAAACTTATTTCTTTACTTTCTGACACAGAATAAATTTTTTTATTACAATACTTCTGATGCTGTTTATTGGCAAGCCCTGCAGTTATAATAGGAATTGTTAATCTTGTAAAGAAAGAAACAGAGTCATCAGAAGGCTGGGTTTCCTGGAGGGAGAGTTCTCCTTATTTGTCTTTCATCTCTATTCTTTGTTCTCTTAGGTGTTTTGACTGATCTTGATTTCTGGTCGCCCTACTGTTTCTCTTTGTGTCAACTTTACATTTTTCTTAGTTCTATTTTTAAATTTTCTTTACTGTGATTTTCTTACCCTGTAAAATGACTATCTTATCCTCTTCCAGGGTTTATAATTTTTTTAGTTCACTTTTGTTATAAGAGTCATCTTTGGGGCGCCTGGGTGGCTCAGTCATTAAGCATCTGCCTTCGGCTCAGGTCATGGTTCCAGGATCCTGGGATTGAGCCCTGCATCGGGCTCTCTGCTCAGCGGGAAGCCTGCTTCTCCCTCTCTCACTCCCCCTTCTTGTGTTCCCTCTCGCTGTGTCTCTCTCTGTCAAATAAATAAATAAAAATTAAAAAAAAAAAAGAGTCATCTTTTAGATTACCCTGTTAATACCATGGCAGCCAGACTGGTGAAGAAATAGAATGGGAAGGAAACCACAATTAAAATATTAGTTGTTAAAATAAGAGGGAAATAGCAATGGTTTCATGAAAAAGAGGTTCTAATAAAACTTTAAATTATACATATGCACACATATACACTTTCATCTATTTATCCTCTTCTCATTTTTAATCACCAAAAATGTATGAAATGCCTCAGCTGCAATACTCCCCCAGTCTTTCTGTACCTCCACACATGTCTTTATTCACACTTGTGATGATTGTTTTTGCTTGTATTTTGAAGCCTCTCCTAGAGAGTCTCAGAGACCATGCTCACGGCCCTATAGGTCATGCTCTGTTTACTCTCATTTTCTCATAAAGGTTGTGCAGAAGAATTAAACCTTGTTAAAGTTAAGCTGAAAAATTAAGAATCTTAGAAATCTAGGTGACACTGTGACTAAAATTATGTGAATATTTTCAAAGATTTCAAGGGATTAAAAAAAATTCCATGTTAAAAAACAAACTTGGGGCACCTAGGTGGCTCAGATGGTTAAGCATCTGCCTTTGGCTCAGGTCATGATCCCAGGGTCCTGGGTGGAGTCCCACATTGGGCTCCCTGATCAGCGGGGAGTCTGCTTCTCAGTCTACCCCTCCCCCCTTCTCATGATCTATCTGTGTCTTGCTCTCTGTCAAATAAATAAAATCTTAAAAACAAAGCAAAACAAAAAAC